TCACCGCGGAGCACGTGATAAGTCAGCACTTAAAGTTAAAAACTTAATTGGTGCCGGCACCGGGGATCGAACTCAAGTTGCTCGAGTATATTGAATTAAAGGCGAGCGCCCGAACACTGAGCTACCACGGCTCTAAATAAAAGATCGTAATTACGTTTAATTGAAACTGAAATCTTTCGTTACTTAATTAATTTCTAAAGATCGAAGACATAATTTTCTTCGATTTGCTGTACTTTTTTTATATAAAACATGATAAGCGAGCTGGCGATTCTCTTCATGTTAAGTGATGACCCATCCCATGGACATTCGTAACAGCCCGTAGAGTTGCAGGAGCGTTGGCCCCGGCTACGTCAATAACAAGTAAGTAAACGCGAAAGTAATACTTCCATTTCATATCGGTATTCTGCGAGGTCGTTGTGTCTATTCGATTTTTTTGTTTCAAATGGTTAGGACTGAAGAACGGCAATTTCATAAGATATATATAGGTCTACATTGAGCTTTATGAGTAGTTGAGATGACTTAAAACGTAGTCGAAATAATAAAAAAAGCCAGGGTAGGATTTAATTTTATAATTATAGTATTTGTACTATAATTTCAGGCTACGTACTATATACTACCCATATCTAAGAATAGTATGAAAAGGTATTATAATTTCATTACTTTACCTAAATGACCAATACTGTATCAATCACTGCCAATCCAACATTAATAGAAGTTCTTTAGGTTGTAGAAGTAATCACGCTGACCGCTGTAATTCTATTGAACAATAGAAAGCTGTTTTACCATTTGTACCTAATTATTGTCTATTATTACCATAGATTATAAATAGTTGTCATCGATTAACAATTAACGGTGACTTACTGTGAATGTTACTTTTTTTGATACTCCGCTTTCTCCAACAGTCACTTTGCACATTACACTGAATGAAGTAATTAATAGAGTTCTTAATTGTCTAATAGTATGATTAATTTATTATTTTTATTTGCATGACCGTTCCATTGATAGACAAAATTCAAAGTGATGACAATTGTTTGCGAGTTATTGATTAAAATAATTTATTTTTGGTGTATTAATTATGAAAATAATAGTGTACTATATTTATTATGTACTATATATAATAATAGTGTAATATAAAATTCTTGGTCAAATACTAACCTTTTAAACTTTTTGTCCTATTTTTTTTACCGCACCCAAATCCATCCCTGCTAGCGTGGTCGGCTCCGTGCGCAGCGGACGTTGACGAAATTGAATTTTTTTTAAACACAACATTCAACAGTGTATTATTAAAAGTTCTTATCAGAACTTTTGGCATTTGCAAAAGTAACACAATCCGGATAAAATGGGCTAGAGGTTGCCTCTTCAGGGATTTCCACAGCTCTATTAAATGACGGGAAAATAGCAAATTAAACCTATATAATAAATACTACTAAAACCCTACCACTGACAATATCATTGGAACAACAGTCAGTATACTCCTTACGTAAATTGACGGGAACAGTCAAAGATCTCACAAACTCTGATGGTGTTATGGGTGGTGTTACTTTTGTTTTTGCGTGCGATATTCGTCAAACACTGCCTTTAATAACAAAATGAACACGCTTCGATATTATTAGGGCATGCTTAAAATAACTAACTTACTTGGACATCCGTTAAAACTCTCAATTTATGAACAACATATTTGAGCGACAACTTTGATAACGGCTTTCCGCATCAACTAAAGTCTATATGCTTTCCTATAAATTGATACACCCCCCCCCCCCCCCCCCCCCCCCCCCCCCCCCCCCCCCCCTTTTGTAATGGTAAAATAATACAATTCAAATTCGTGGCGACTATTCTCACAGAATCAGCAATGGTAAAATTGGCTCATATTCGGCGGATACACATGATTCCGACAGATTTACCCACACCGTTTAAAAGGGTACCGATAATACCTGTGAAGATCTCTTTCACTATTAATAAGTCCCAGGGTCAAATATACTCTCTGGTAGGCTGTAGGTTGATCTCAGAAAGCAGTGATTTTCCATGGGCAGTTATGTTGGCTTATCTCTGGTTGACACTCCTGAAACACAAATTATATTTTGGTACCAATTAATAATTGGTACCACCTAAAAATAAACATAATTTATTCAATCATAATCATACACTGATTTGAACACACATAAACAAAAAATACAAATACATACATACATACACATGAAGTAAAAATATAACCCTTCTATTCGCAGTCAGGAAATAAATCATTAGCACTTAGTACCAACCAAACCAGACTCATAATTTCTTCAAAAGTAAAAATCTTTAACGCCCAACAAAGTGGTCGTGGGTCAGCTAGTTTAATATAATTTGTTAACAATAGGATAATTCGATAACATATTTAGTCAATTTCAATTCTTTTTTCATTTGCTTCATGTAATATTCCTGAACTAAATAGTGCCTTTATGTATATCAATTGATTATCTATTAGACAGTTATCTATTAGGTTAGTTTAACAACGAACTCGTGATATCTCTAAATCTATATAATTATATAATATCATTTTACATTATTGGTCACCGAAATATATGAAAAAACCAAATAATTCTATCATGCATTCTTCTGTTTAAAAATATAGACATTTTCTCCATCACATTTTAATTCCAATGTGAAAAACCGGCTTTCACAATATAATAAACTTATCCAGGCAAGCTTCAAGCAACCTTTACTTGAAGCCGGTATATTGACTGCGACGTTATCGTTTTAGTAATGCATACTATAAATTAGCTTTGTTAAATATAATATATTAATCAAAGTGCAAGACTTCCAACTTGTGTCTCGATTACCCGCTTAATTATTCGACCAAAACCTTTGACAAATTCATTCGCTGCTTTCAATTCAAAGCTCATCAGGGAGATACGTCTTATTTGCACAGTAGCATCGGTAAAGGTTCTATAAATGACGTGTAAAAAAGCCAGACAACAAATTACAGTTGAGATGCACTTGCGTACTTAGCAAGGTAGGAACTAATTAGTTTCAGCGCCATTGAAATATCATTTACGTGTAGATACACAGGGTGTTTACGGAAAAATGAATGTACGCTTCAATATTCAACAGGTATTTCTATTCATTCGCCTTTGTAATGTCACCATTTTGTTGTCTTGCTCGTAAGTACATACTTCAATAACGGTAAAAATATTTCTCTCGATGATACTACAAATGTATTTGTTTATTTTAACCTCTTGACCACTAAGTAACGAAGTGAAAGTTCCATTCAATCCGTTCACGAGTTCTACGTGATGGGTGTGCCAAATACCGCTATATGTTACCATTTCCACCTCCTTTAGAATGTTAAAGAAAACTAGTTACATTTATGGATTAATTTAAAAATTAAAGCAATCGTTGTATTATGTTGCCAATTTAAAACAATGAATTAAGTTTTGATTTACTTATTCCTAAAGATTCTTTTACAAGGAAAATTACTTAATTCAAAATTGCCTCCTCATTAAATTTAATCACAAATAGCATAAACATTAAATCATCAAAAATGGTCAGCAATGAATCCAAAAAGTATACAATCCTCAAGCGACAATCTTGTACAAAATGTGAAAACAAGTATATTTGTTTGATGTTATAAAAAATATTTTTATAATATCAAACAAATATTCCTAAAGTGTGGCTTAAGAAAGTGAAACAGGAACCTTGGTATGCATAGATTTTCTTAAAGCTGTATCTCAAAGCCCTACCTATACACAATGCTTTTAACATTTATCTAATAGTAAGGTCATTAGAGATTGCCCGAAACTTTTAGATTTTAGCAGACTTTTAGATTGTAATCTTAATCAAATTGACCTTTAGCAGGTGTACGTAGCACAAAAGGTAGGTCCAGGCGTAGTATCCATATATCGGGAAGTGGTAAAAATGTTACCCATAACACTATCATTAATTATAGATATAATAATAAATATATATATTAGAGCGTAACGTTAATTATTTAACTTATTAAATTTGTTAAAAAACTATTAACTATCTTAAAATTTTATGAGGACGAAAGAAAAAAGTGACCAACTTTTGAGGATTGTACACCTTCATAAAAATGTTTATGGACACGGACTAAAATACCGTGCCACGCATAAGGAAAATGAAGCATCGTACATCTATGTGTGAGAGATTTTTATGAATACTAGATTTACTGAAAATATAAAGAATATCTTAATCAATACTTGCTAATATTTAACCTACAAAGAACCCATTTATTTTCTGACAACACCTTATACACCTGTGAAGGTTTTGTGTTCCAAGACAGAAAGGGATTTTAAAATGTCAAAAATATAATAAATAGTATTTGTGTCTCATCTATCATATTTTGTTTCTAAAAACTTTTTATAGGATTTAGTATTATTCTTACATCACAAGATGCTATTGTTTTATTTTTATTACTTTATGTAAACAATACCTGCATAGACGCCGTGGTGCCACGTAATGCTGGGCTTACTTTGATGTAAATGTGCGAGAGGCATCTATGTACAAGCGGTGCGGCTTATTTAGTATGCTTAACTTTCGATAATGCGGAATCCTGTTATTTATAAGTCAGTGTTTATCGCTATAAAATTTTGTATTTTTCCATATTATAAGTTACTTGCACATATCATCTAGTTTTACGTTAATTGATTATATGATAAAACTAATATAATAATGAATTAATAGATAGAATAGTTGCTAAGTTTTCGGTAAAAGTGGAACATGTCGCTATAGCTACGAATGAGGAGATCACGTCATCGCAAACGTGCGTGGCAAGCACGAAGAGGCGCGCGTCATGCAATGATAACAGCCATACCTTTCTCTTTTTAACATTAAATGTTTACGTACCAAAGAGAGAGATAGCAAAGGAACCGCTGCACAGTCTCCACGAACGGAAAACTTTATACGAATTCCAAGTTAGTGGAACCGGACCGTCTCAGTTGTATTACAGCCGCTGTTGGGACTGCACGTCTTATTCAGCTTGTCCGATAACTTTTCGTAACTTCACCATGATGTTGCGCTGCGCATTTGCATTGCTGGCACTGGCAGGGGCTACTTTTGCTGGCTCTGAGGTCAAAGAACTTAAGGTAGACGTAGTGAGCGTCCCAGAAGGCTGCAGCGTAAAGTCCAAGCACGGTGATATGCTGACCATGCACTACACGGGCACGCTCGACGATGGTCACAAGTTTGACTCCAGGTAAGTAACACAACTCAACACTTCCCAAGAGTAAAAAAAAGTATTTGATAATTTTAACGACTTCATATTTTTAGTAATCAAATTAAAATCGTGGTCGGATGTTGAAATCGGTTATCGGTACGGAAAAGGAAAGATGATAAGCAAAATTTTAAGTTCCGGGAGAAAAAGTTTGTAACAAACATAACGCTCTACTTTTTGTTTACTTGCCATATTAAAAAAATCGTTGCAAAATTTGGGAATACAAAGAATTACTTACCTGCATTTACAGGACACAAATAATTTTATAACTATCACAATTGCTAAAATCGGTTGATCACCCTTTTGTTGTATATTTAGTACGTTATAACCCGAAAATTTTAAACTTCCGATAATTAAAAAGTAATATTTATAGTAACATCGTTTTTATAGCTGTGTTATGTCTAACACAAAGTAGGAACCACCGTAGCGTTGCTGTCATTTAAAAGTTTAAAGGATTAATACAAGAAATTTATTTATGTTTGTGACGAATTTACTTCTCGTAAATATGATTAGAAATCGTAATGGACACACCGACCTGAGTCACTGTGTCCGATCCGACACTAATTTATTTATAAATTACAAATGATAATATATATTTTAAACTTAACATTTTACGCATACATTTTTCGTTGTTGTCTTTATTTTAAATATTTTATTCGGCACAAATTTAGCACATAAACTGGCATATTATGAACAAGTCCGTACTAACAAAAAAATATAATTATGTGCAACCGCTACTGTAAGACATAGTAGATTTTCACATAAGATTAAGAATTCTGCGCCATTGCTTTACGTTTTTTAATTGTGATATACACAAAATCTAGTAGTGTATACAACATGTATACCAGTTGTATTTCTTAAGTATGTAATATCACACACTACACCTATTTTTAAAGTACATAAATCACTTTATTAAATATATTAAAAGGTACTCATTTTATTACATATAAAACATATTCTGTAAGTAAAGACTTTCCCAATTAAAACTTAAATTATATTTGAATTACCTATTTGTTTAATAGTTGTTAATTGTTCGTATGCAAAACGCAAGATTTTGCCGCAAGTATTCGCTTTGCTGTTATCAAATCTCCATTTTAGCACGTGAAGGCGGTCTAATGAAAAAATGTGTGCTTTTTATTTAAAACCGTTTAAAGTAGAAAATAGGTGTAAAGGAGAAAAATTTAAAAACTTCGGCCTTTGGCTGAGCAGCGTAAAATAGCTTTGAGGTGGAACAACGCTGGAGAATGGAGCTTCCGGCGAATGGGCCGTGAGAAACCCGAATTTAAGACTAAGATATGTGATTAGCTCGGTGAAGTTGCGCTTGTTTCTTGAACTCGGCGGAAAACTTTTGTTATTACCGTTCATGTGAGTGTAGGAAAATTTTACGTTTAATTACGAACGTTGTTAATTTAATTCCAGCATGTGCTTGCTCGATATCATTCATTCAGGTTAATGATAGCAGTTATAGCGATGTTTTAAATTAGATGTAGATTAAAGAGTAACAGACATCATGTATTATATTTACACGGAATCACAGTTCAATCAATTTTAACAAAATACTGATTAACTTAACATTTTAAAAACTCTAGCAAGCAGAAAATGTATAATTTTTTTTACAGTATCTTGGGAAACGCTTGTATTATAAATCTATACAGATAAATAAAATTGGAGTGTGTGTCTGTAGTATTAAAATAACCGCTTTTTAATAAATACATATGGATGTATACACGGTACTTATACCAAAACAATTTTTTTTACAATTTTTATCTGTCTGTCTGTCTATTTGATCCGACTAATCTCTGAAACGGCTGGATTTTGACGGGACTTTCACTGGCAGATAGCTGTTGTCATAAGGAGTAACTTAGGCTACTTTTACTATAGAAATTTTATTAATTTTAAATTGCTCTCGTACAAAGTCGCGGGGCACAGCTAGTACATACTGTAAAAATAAAATTAAAATTCTATTTTTTTCAAATGAAGATTGACACAAAAAATATTGCGAAAAAAAATTTTCCAATGATATATCATCATCCACGAAATGCCCCAAACAAGAGGAAGGAAGACAATATTGTTTCAAAAATTATAAACTTGATGAAAAAACCGTGTACACGATTACGATATATAAATAATTCACACGCATCTCTTCATGTAGCGAGTGCGCGTTAGATATACCTTGATCAAATGGGCATACTCATTTCTCTTTTGCGGAGTTCTTTTATTACTTAGGAGTATAGCTTAACATCTTGAGTGGAATTTTTAGACTAAAAGCTAAGAATAACTATGTAATTCAACGAGAATCGATATTTTCTAACATAATTCCTTAATAGCTTAAAAGTACTTTTGTGTATTTAAGGAATAGAATGCGAAATCTGCAATTATCATGGTATACTGGTAAAATTATTTTAAAACATACAAAGTTTTTGTTAGCTATTTGACTTTAGCAGAAAGGCAGAAAAAAGCAGAATATCTGCTTCCCTATTTAAAGCGACAGTGAGTTATACTGAAAACTGGACATGGCGTTTATTTCGTTTTTCTTAGTCTCGATTTTGAACAAACAAACAAGTGATGAACTCGCACAATTCCGACATCCTATTTGCTGCTATGCGTTACGGGAGCGAAGCTTTGTAAAAAACGTTGGCAGATTCAAAAACTTTAACCGAAACATTCGACAGCGTAGCGCGCCGCCCTGTAATGTGCGCTTTTTTACAACTTTTTTAATTGTCCGCAGAGAAAATCCGACGCCTGCCCAACTAGTTAATAATTCTATGCGCTTTCGTTTTTTTGCATCGTCTAACTTGTATCTTGCCTCTAAATCTGTGTATGTAATGGCTTGCGTTACTTCGTGCTATGCATTGTAATGGACCTTAAGCTATTTTGCTTTACACGGCGGTGAAAGTCCAACGGTTACCATTAAAAATAATTAAAATGCATATAGGTCTTGACGTCTTTAGAACAACTCTCGAATATCGAATGAGAAGCCTGAGAGAGATTCACCATAAACTATCGTGCTTTTCGTTTTTTTTTTTGCTTTTATCTAGGAACTTGCATTACGTTTGCTGGATCAGAGATTCTTTTAATTGTGTTGATTAAAAAAGTTGCCGTCACCGACAAAAGATTCCGATACCGTTACTTCTTTTAAACGATTTAACGATAATATATAGTTTATATTCTGTTTTGAAAACAGTCTATACAAAACAATGCGAATACAAATAAAAAACAAACGAATACATAGAACGATGGAGCATTCAGTAGGCGTTGAACGTTGTGGACCTTGACGAACTCCAGGTCCCAGCTTTGATTCCCAGCCCGTTCCTTCACACGGTGCTTCGAGCCCTATGGGTTACCGCTGTAAAGTTAGGCTATTATGGTCTTGGAAAATTTCCAAGGCTCACGGTGTGCAACCCGCTATATACATATATTCTAAATTTACGCATGGGATTTTTTTATTAACGCTAACTTTAATTATGCTCATAAATGTCTGAGTAACAATTTGTACAGTTTTTACATCTTGTTAATGAGCGTGATTTATTTTATTAACATGTATTTGCTAGTTAAACCTTGATACTTGCCGTCTAACCGCGATAATGAAATTACTTTGAAACATAAACGTTGAATATTAGTCGCTTAATGAAAGATCGGCAATACTTTGAAATAAAATGTAAACAAAGAACGATTGAAATTTTTATTATTTATTTATTAGTTATTTATCATTGCCTTAAGACATAAGGATACGCCTATTTAAATTAAATTTGCAAGTAACGTAACGTAAAGTTATCATATCCGAAAATTCAATACATTTGAAATGTATGTGTATAAATATTTTACTATAAAAATGAAAACATTTTTTTAAAATATGATAATCAAGTCAATATAAAATTCTCTCACCTTCAGTTTCTTTTTTTGTTATTTCGACGCGTAATCATCAATTGTAATTCCAAATTGTTAACCGCCGAAAGCGTAATTTGTTCTTTTGTGTATCAAAAATTTAATTTTGCAATAGAACTGCAACTCTTATTCTATATATTTACAATGGTCCTTTGGTTCGAACGATCAACAAGAAATGCAGCTAGAAATCAGCACTAGATCAGAGATGCACCTGCCGTGAAGTATGTCCTTTAGTGGGGGCGATATTAGAGCGGTGTTGGTTAATAGAAATGTTCCGCTAAAACTGCGGTGGCGGAGTTTGGACGTAACTTATAACGAAGCCCACGGTGCAGTGTTGCCGTAATGCCTAGACGGCGAAGTTTTAAAAACGGCAAATAAGCGATGAAAAAGAGTTAGTAGCTGTTTCATCCTAAAATCGTCGCGAGGCGGCGAATGTGACACTTGAAGTGTGAACTTTTGCTTTGGGAAATTGCTTACCACACGTCGCGTCTACATTTAAATGCCTTTTTTTATAACAGGGTTTCTGAAGTAAGCAATAGGGACACCGAGAGAGGCAATGTTACAATGAGCTGCACATTTGCAACATTTATGAAGAAATTAAACCGATTGCTTATACATTGCATTTTTGATTCATTGTAACTAAAGCTATTTTTTTAATGTTTTAGTGCACAATTTAATTTTGTTTTTGCGAAAACTGCCTTTTTATATTGATGTATCTAATACCCAAAAGACTTCTTTTCAATTATCGGCAATAATGAAAATAAATACCTATACTACGAATTATAACCCATAAACAATAACCTATAATAACTATGCAAGTCCTACACGATATCCTATCCTGCGGTAAGTCGATCGATGCAGTTGGCTCAGGATCGTGCTTCATAGCTGTATGTGGGGGAGGCCTATGTTCAGCAGTGGACCTGAACTTGTAATGATGATGCAGCCCTACACCGTAACCAACGCTTAAATAGTACAGGAGCAAGTCTTGATATCAACCAACAAACTAAAATAACTTTCTGAAATTTACACATCTAAGCGTTTATCACATTACGTGAAACATTTACAATTTAAACGTTTTTTTTTTATGCGCAAAGATG